TCCTTTCTGATACTGCCACAACCCTGGTGTGGGTCCTTATAGCCTCATATTTGGACTTTTATAACTATTACAATAGCCTGTTGGTGGGTCTGCCTGCCACATACCTCTCTCCACTCCATTCCATCCTCTATTCAGCCACCAAAAGATTTTCCTAAAGTGTAGGAATGACCATGTCACCTCTCTTCTCTATTCTGCTGAGAGTGGCTGCCTATCACCTCCAGGGTGATATAAAATCCTTTTTTTTGTGTTCAAAGTTCTTCAGAACCTTGCCCTCCCTCCCTTCTAGTCTTCTTATACCTTTCACCCCAACACAGTGACAGTGGCCTCCTTGATGTTCCTCAGTCAAGAGATTCCATTTCTCTGCTCTGGGCATTTTTACTGGCTTCCCCACACTTGGAATGTTCTCCCTCCTCATCTCTGCCTCCTGGCTTCTTTTAAGTCCCGACTACAATCCCACCCTCTACAACAAGCCTTTCCCAATCCTTGTTAATTCTAGTGCCTTTCCTCTGTTGGTTATTTCCTATTTTTCCTGTATATAGCTTGTTTGTACATAGTTGTATACATGTTATCTGCTCCATTTGATTGTGAGCTTTTCAAAGGCAGGGACTGTCTTTTGCCTTTCTTTGTATCCCCAGCACTTATCACAGTGCCTGGCACATAATAGGCACTTAATAAATGCTTTTTGACTGACAGTATATTGAATTAAAATTTATCTCTTTATAATTTCCACTAGTAATATTAGGTCTGCCCTCTGGAGCAACATAGAACGAGTCTAATCCTTCTTCCACAAGACAGCATTCAGCAATTTGTAGATATAAGCCAATTTACAATAAACTGTTAATACCAGTTAAATATAGTAACTTCCTAGACCATTCATGTTTGTAGTCTCCTACACCAGAGATATCAAATACATCTCCCCTCCCCCTACCCCAGATTAAAATGTGGTTGAGAAATATTTAACAAAATAAATATAAATATAGTAGAACATTGATAATATAAATGTGTGGTTTTCTAAGTCAGTATGCAGTTTTGCAGTGGGCAAGGATTCTTATGTAGGATTTAGATTTTGAGTTTAACATCACTGTCCCAACAATAAAATGAAGAAGACCCAGGTTCTTTAGGACAGAATTTTGAATTGTCCATAGTCATTCCTGGAATGTGCTTTTTGGTATACAAATAGAAATACAGTTTGTCTTGATTATACCAGGAAAATTCTTTATCCCAGATTGATCTATTCTCCCTTCTGACTCTTAATAGTTGTTTATAACCTGAGTTTTAAGTTATGGGCAAAGGGCAAGGTGGAAAATAGGAGTCAATGATTGTTACTTTAGATAAAATATATTTACTAATCTTGGTCCTGGAAAAGAGATGATGAGACAGACTTTGCTCCTTTAAGTAGAAGGGGGGAGGAGGATGGAGAGGGTGGCAATGGGTATGGAATACTGCATACATTGTCAGACTTGGCCTGATGCCAGTTTTGTTTCTTTGTTACAAGGGACACCAATTACGGCTCTTGGTGGCAGGATAATATTGAGAAATGATTGTCATTTTTTTTTAAAGTGTCAATAAAACTTGAAAGGAAACAGGAGGACAAAGGATGCCAATGAAAAGAGAAAGTGGCATTGGAAAGTTAGTTTTCTGGCTGATCTAGTCTTGTGATAGAAATTTTAAAACCAAGAGATGATTATGATTCTATCTAACCCTTGTTATTAGATGCAGGAAGAAGTTCCAGGGTTTGCCATGAATTTTCCATTTAACAGTTAAATTATTTGATTAGGTGTTACCTTACTCTTCTATCTATAAAATGGTAGGATGAGGTGGTAATTTGAAAATAGGCATGTAAGCGTTTCATACTCCTCAGAAAAAAAAAAAGAAAGACATCCAAACTGTTGTGTTTTTGAACTTTTGTTGTGATAATTTCCCATTTGTCCTTGGTGATTAGGAGATTGGAATATTCTCATGATCATACATCAATCACTAATTTTTTTTTTTAGAAAGAATTGGATTTCGAAAAAAATACATTGAACATTTAAACTCAACTGAATATGAATTAATCATGTTCTATCCTTCACAAACCACTTCAAGATAAACATCAATTATTACACTACTAGACTGAAAAAACTCTGGTTTTAGATTTTCCACTTGTCTGGATCTTTGAAAATAGGAACTTATTGTATCAGTAATGATGATTTATATCTACCTTCACCCAAGTCCATTAATTAAGTATAACTTGAAATCTAAAAGGATCACATCTGAAAGTAACTTTCATGCATATGTATATCCAATATCCTCAAATGATTATAGTCTCCCTGAGGTTAGGGACAATGGTTTTACTCAGCTTTCTCTCTCTCGTTATATCTAATATAAGCAGAGTAATCTGAAAGCAGGTATTCAATCCAAAATTAAACAATATGTGTTTATTCTTGATAATTTTGGTAAGCTTTCATTTTAAAATATCAACCCTTTTGCCATAATTTTTTCTTTTAAAAATAATTTCTTATCCACATAAATAGTATTGAACATCAATACAATCAATTAAATTCACTTCACAGTTCTTGACAATTAAATGAAATACATCCCTTAAAATGTCATAACAACTAATTTCATTCCTTAGTCTTTTTTTTCCCTCTCTCTTTTCCTTGTAAAATCAAAGATTTAGACTATATAGTCTCTCAGGACTCTTTCAGCTCTAAAGGTTCTGAATTTATGGGTCATCTAATTTGTTGCCTTTAACAGTAGTAAACAGAATCAGGTTGTGTATAATTTGGAATATACTGGCCTTCTTCCTGTTTCTTACCCATGACATTCCATCCTCCATCGCCATGCCTTCGTACTGACTATCCCCCATGCCTGGAACATACTTCCTCTTCATATCTGCCTCTTAGAATCCCTTGTTGCCTTTAAAATTAGCTTAAATGCCACCTTCAACATGAAGCCTACACAATTTGCTCTGCCTCCACAGCTGCTAGTGCCCTTCCGCATATTACCTTATATTTTTGTTGTTATTTTTATTTCTGGATGTACATTCTGTCTCTTCCCCAGCCCAACAGAAAGGAAGGTCTGTTGAAGACAGAAGCTTTTTTGTTTATGTCATTGTATCCCCAATATTTAGCACAATGCCTGGCACATAGTAGCTATTTAGAAAATGTTTGTTGTTCCATTGTGTATCTCACCTCCCTTCCCATGATAGATAGATAGACGGATAGACAGATGATAGATTGATAGAAAAAGAGAGTGGTAGAGCTGTGTAGATATAGATATGGCATATATATGTATGTATAAGCATGTATCTATATTTGTGTTTATGTGCACATGTACACATACATATATACATATGCGTGTGTAATCTATCTGTATACATACATACAAAGCTTACTTATTACTACCCATTTGAAAACAAACAAACAAAAAAAAAACCCTTAGGAGTAATGCCTTTAGCATTCAGCATTAACACAGCAAGAACTGGAATCAAAGAATTTGTTAAAAAAAGTATTTCTTGTGTCTACTTTATAGAATGTTCTGCGCTTGGTCTGGGAGAAAATAAAGATAATTAAGACATAATCCCCACCCTTGTGGAGCTCCCCTGGTGGAACAGGAAGGAGACCTCAGAGAGGAAGCCTTAGACATGGAATGACTGAAAGGACCCTAGATGTGGAGTCAGAGTGCACGGGTCTGAGTCCTAGCTCCGCTAAAGTGTAGCCCTGCGCAGGACTCTTAACTTCTCCGACCCTAAGTTAATTTATCTGCAAAATGAGCAGTTGGACTGAATGATCTCTGAGATTCCTTCCTTTGCACTCTAAGATCATCATTAGTGTAACCTCATCTTACAGATGAGGAAACCAAGGCCCCAAAAGAGATAGGAACTTTTTTTTATGATCTTAAGCTATTAAAAGGCAGAATTTAGGTTTGTAGCCATGTATTCAAACTCCATCCTTTGCTTTTTCCAGTTGATTTCTAGTTGATTCCTAGAAATGAACAAAATCCTTTGTGACATTCATTTATCTGACACACACTAAGCATTCCCTAGGCAGTATGTATTTTGAGGGTAAGAACTCTTATCTAAAAACTATTTATTGGGTATCCCAAAAGTCCTTTTTGGACATCCTATATTTCCCTCAAAGCCCAGAATAATGCCCTGTGTATAGTAGGGGTTTAACATATTGTTTGCATTAACTGGCTAAATTCTGTCAAGATGTTCTTCCTTCTGTTCACCTAAATCACTCATTTCATTTTATCTTGATCTTCTCCAGTATCTGTACTATATGGAGATAAAGATCAATGAGTTATTCATTGGGACTTTTCATTCATGTATTCATTCAACAGACATTTATAGAACACCTTGTGAATGCTCACTGAATGTGTTAGATTAAGGAATATTGTAGGGGACAAAAAAAAGAGGAAAATAACTTTGCACCTTCAATGAAAGCACAAGAGGTTTTGGAGAGAGCCGTCTGACAGCTAGTAAGCAAAAATCAGTATGAGGTAATATAACCTAAACTATAAAACAAATAAATGCTTAGGGGATGAAATTAATGACTTGATCCACGTAGCATGTAGTCAATTAGGGAGGACTTCTTGGAGTAGGTGAATATTGTGCCAGGCCTTAAAAGTAGTCAGATACAATTTTCTTCTAACATCAGCTATTGGATACTGCATACAGATCCTCAGGGAATGTTTTTCACTGAAGGATTTTACTTTCTTTCTTCTTAGGCTTTAATGGGGAACCAATAAAGAGAAAGGCAACAGTACTGCTTTTAAGTGCTCAAAACACCCTTGAAACGATTCTCTTTTTCAAGACTCAAAATGAAAAAGGTTGGATTTTATTTGGGCAGATCTGGGGGAATTTGATTTTGAGCTAATCATGCTGCTTAAACTCACCAAGGACATGGGAAAGAGGCCACAAGCCAGATTTAAAATCTTACAAACAGATCCTCTTGACAGATAACATGTGCTTTAAATGGCAGGCAATTGACCAACACCATTTTTCCTTGACTTTGCAGAGATGAAAAGAACCAGTCCATCATAGTAAGTGGTGAGTCAGGAGCCGGAAAGACAGTGTCAGCTAAATACGCCATGCGATATTTTGCTACAGTTGGGGGCTCTGCCAGTGAAACCAACATTGAAGAAAAAGTCCTTGCATCTAGCCCCATCATGGAGGTAAAGAGTTCTGAATCTTTCTTGTCTTTCTATCTTTTCTGTTTGCTCCTCCAGCAGTGTGACTTTCAGTTATTATGTTCTTATATGACTGATCACAAGAATCCTTGGAATGTGCCAGCATTTCTTATTCTCAAGCCATCTGATAATTAAAAGACATCCATGAACACACAGAGAAATGTCCCTCATGAAATAACTTATAGTACAACAGATCAGATTTTCCTGGCATATAGTAAATGCTTAATAAATCCTTCTTTCCTTACCTTGCTTGTCCCCCACTTACTAGGGATGTGTAGTGTGTATTCCTTGTAAAGACATTAGGTATTAGCCTTGAAGTAAATAATGGAATGTTAGATTTGGAGAGGAACCTTATAGATCATCAAATCCAGGGATTGTTCATTTTCTTTGCATCATGTATGTACTCCTTTGGCTGTTTGGTGAGGTCTAGGGATCTCTTCTCAGAATATGTTTTTAAAAGCATGAAATAAGATACATAGGATTACAGAGGAAATCAATTATATTGAAATATACTTATCAAAATATTTTTAAAAATTCATTTACTCCAGGTTAAGAACCTCTAGTCAAGTCCAACCTCTCAATTTGACAGATGAGGAAACGGAAACTGAGAGAAGTGGCTTAACAAGTCCTGAATAATGAGAAGTGTCCCTCCTCCCCACTCCATCTCCTGGATACTTAGTGAGTTCTTTCTCATGTGAAAGCCCATTCTCATTTTACTGGAGTATAGTAATAAAAGAAAGAAGCAAATTGATGTTACCAGGAATTGCGAGTGTGGAGGGGAACCCAGTTTTCTCTTGAAAGGCTGCACTCTTAAAATCCGTAGTTTCCATCAGAGTTCAGCTCAGATGTTTCCTACTACATGAGGCCTTTTGTCATTGATCCATACCCCACCCCAGTTTCTAGGGCTTCTTCCCCCCCAAAAATGCTTCATATTTATTCTCTATTTTGTGTATATTTATACATTTATGTATTATTTTGCCTTAATAGAATGTAAATTCCTTAAGAGCTAAGACTGTTTCATTTTTCCCTATGTTATCTCTAGCACTTAACCCAGTGCCTGGTACATAGTAGGAAATGTGATCACTATATGGTGTCGTGTCGGTGTAAAGAGGCAGCACAGGTCATTTGATTCCTTCATGCCTCTGGGTACCAGGATATGATTATGCATATTTCCCACATCCAGTGTCTGAGTCCCCCAAACACAGGAGAACATGTCTCTGCAGGGATAGTCTTTGGTGGTGGGAGGGCACAGCTCCCAGAGATGCATCTTGCGATAGTATTGTTCATCTCTCTTGAAGGATATCTTTGAGAGAATTATGATCTGTAGATACACTACTCAGAGATCATCAATACAGACATGAAGTAAATGAAGTTCTTTAGGGCTGGAGGACATGGAGGTGCAGGGGAATCTAAAGAGGATGAGACATGATAAGAGACAAAAGAACGAGATGCAGAGAGATTAAAAAAAAAACAATACAAAATGAAAGCTGTGTGTTTCGATCCATTCTTCCCAAGCTTTTTCTTTTTGCTTCCTGCTTCCTAAATTTACTCCACCGGCCCTGTTTATCTCTGTCAAGGAAGTTATGAGTCAGAGTTGATATTTGTGCACACACACACATATGCATATATTCATGTATTTATATCCATGCATGCCCATGCATACGATACATACACAGCCTATGTGTATGTATAATATATATGTGTTACATATGTATAACACACATATATAATATATACAGATAACATATATACACATATAAACATATATCTACTTTTATTTACACATATACATACACACATATTTGCTTTTCTATTTTTGTCCTGACTGCATTCTGATAATCCCCTTACTTTCTGAACAGTATTTCCCAATATCCTTAGCCTGTGCAGCGGGTTTCAGTCCCAGGCACCAAATCAATATCCTTCTGTATTGCATGTATAATTTTTCCTGACTTGTAGCTCACTGTTTTTTTGCCAGGGAGGCACTGCTTCCCTGCCTTGAATTCTGAGTTAACTGTCTCCTATTCATGACAGTCTGCAATAGTAAATAATCGTGCATTTGTCATTTCCCCCATCATATTCAATACTGATTCAGACAATCAGAATATGTAGACTCTTATGTTAGTCCTCTGCTGTATTGCTTTTTTAGCTCAGAGCTTTTCTAGACTCTTCCTACTAAAGGCAGGAACTGACGTCCTCTTCTTTTGTACTTGGACAGCAAGTAGTAGTAGTAGCCTCTGTTATTCTTCTGTTCCTCTTAGATGTCTGTTTTATGTTCCAACTAGTAGTAGTAGTGCTCACTGTTAGGATCATCATATGTGGTTCTTTTAGGAAGTTATAAAGAGGGTTAAAAATAACAATGGCAATAACTTTCTCCTTGGTGACATGGCACATGGAAAGAGCACTGGCTCTGGAGTCAAAGGACTTGAGTTCAAATCCCACCTCTGATGCTTACTATTCCTGTGACCTTAATCAAGGCACTAAAACTCCTGGACTTTGGTTTCCTCATCTGTAAAATGATGGGCAAGATGGTCTGTGAGGTCCATTCCTGATCAATATCCAGCTACAATCCTATCATTCCTTCCCCCATTCAGTTATCCACAAAATCACATTTTGCCAGCTTAGACCCTAATTTGGGGGCCCATGGGGAATTATGGGAAAATTATAAAAGGCTTCAAGGTTGGGGCAGATTTGAAGAAACAGATTCAGAAGAATAAATGGCAGAGAGGCATAAAAAAAATAATACAAAAGATTTCTTAACATGTATTATCTTCTTACTATTATCATTCTCTGCTTGTTCACACATAAAGATCATAAGATTTTTATCTAGGTTAAGGCAATAATAAGAAAATGCCCTCTTCTACTTGTTTTGTACTGCTATTTCCTTATTATCTCAGCAGGCCGTAGGCAGATTGCTACTTTCAGAATAAACTTTACGAAAGTACAGACTGGTGAGGCAGGGGCTGTTCAGGTTTAGGGGTGCTAGGACTCCAAAATATTGAGAGCAAGAGAAGCAGGTCCTGCTTAAATGAATTTGACCCAAGCCTTCTTTCAGCCAAAGACAAAGTTTATTAGAATATTGATCAGGGGTGGGCAAGATTTTAAGAACCTGACATATTGGTCAGACTCTTAAGGAGGATAACATTTATGTTGCTAATGCAAGTGGGCCAGATTTTAAGAATCTGAGTCATGACCTGTACTTCTTGAAGGGCAGTATGCCAAGCTGAAGACTTTGTATTTTCTTTCCAAAGACTACTTAGGAGCCATGGAAAGCTCTGTCATGGGCAGAGGAATAATATGGTCACATCATTTGGCACATTCATTGTGCAATAGGAAGATTATCTTGGCAGATCTGTATGAAGAATGAATGAAAGGGGTGAGGGGAAGCAGAGAGACAAATTGGGAGGCAATGACTGTACTCTATGTAGGAGGCAATGAAGGCCCAAGCTAGGGTGAGGGCCATGTGGCCAAATGGTGTGGCGAGTTAGAATCAATAAGACTTGGCAACTGATTGGATATTGTGTGTGAGGAAGGGTGAAGGCCGAACCTAAGTGGCTAAAAAATGGTGGTACTCTCAGCAGAAACAGAAAGTTTTGAGAAGGGCAAGATAACAAGGTGTGTTTTGGACTCAATTTTATTTTTTTGTGAGACAATCAAGGTTAAGTGGCTTGCCCAGGGTCACACAGCTAGGAACTGTCAAGTGTCTGAGGCCAGATTTGAACTCAGGTCCTCCTGATTCCAGGGCTGGTGCTCTATCCACTCTGCCGCTTAGCTGCCTCTGGGCTCAATTTTTAATTGCATAGATGTCATCCAGGTGGACATGTTCAGCAGAAAACTCAACATATCCAAAATTGAATTTATTTTTTTCCACTAAACCCTCCCCCATTACAAATTTCCTTGTTATTGTTGATGTCACCATCATCCTCCCAGGCTCCCAACCTAGGTGTCATCCTGGACTCCACACTATCTCTCATCCCCTATATCTAATCTGTTGCCAAGGTCTGTTGATTTCATCTTTGCAACATCACAAATATCTTGAATGTCTCCCTTCTCTCCTCTGACACTGCCACCACTCTGGTACAGGTGCTCATCACCTCTCATGTGGATGACTGAAATAGCCTGCCTGTTGGTCTTCCTGCCACAGATCTCTCCCTACTCCAGTTCATTCTCTACTCAACCACCAAAGTGAGTTTCTTAAAGCACAAGCCTGATCATGTCCTATCCCTACTCAGTAAATCCCATTGGTCCCCATGGCCTCCAAGATCAAATACAAAATCCTCTTGTTGGCTTTCAAAGCCCTTCATAACCTAATCCTTCCTCTCCAACTTTTCTCATCATATTACAACCTATACCAGGGGTGGGGAACCTACAGCCTCAAGGCCACATGTGGCCCTCTAGGTCCTCAAGTGCAGCACTTAACTGAGTCCAAACTTCACAGAACAAATCCTTTTATTAAGGGGCTGCACTTGGGGACCTAGAGGGCTACATGTGGCCTTGAGGCCAGAGGTGCCCCACTCTTGCCCTATACCCTGTCATGTACTCTTTGATCCAATGACTGGCTTCCTTGTTCTAAAAACAAGACTCTCCAACTCTTGGCTCTGGGTATTTTCTCTGGCTGTTTCCCATGCCTCATCTCCACTTCCTTTCTGACTTCCTTCAAGTCTCAGGTAGAATTCTACCTTCTACAAGATGTCTTCTCCCAATCCTACTTAATTTTAATGCCTTCCTTCTATTAATTATTTCCTTTTTATCCTATATATAGCTTGTTTATCGATATTTGTTTGCATATTGTTTACTCCATTAGATAGATTGTGAGTTCCTCAAGGGCAGGGACTGTATTTTGCCTTTCTTTGTATCCCCAGCACTTAGCACAGTGCCTGACACATAGTAGACATTTAATAAATGTTTGTTGACTGACTGATGTCTGGTGATACAGGGTTGGAGTTGAGAAGAAAGATTAGGGATGGATACCATATTTCACCACATAA